TCTTCCGGGTGGTGTTAATTTATTCCCCTCCCCCCCCCCCCCCGGCCCCTCACACTCTGTAAGATTACTATATTTTGTCTTCTCTCAACTCTCTTTTCAAACCAGAACTGGTGCTTCAGGTAAAGGGTCAGACCCACTGGCAAAAATTACTTCCTTGAATTTTAATTAGACCGACAAGAATTGACTTATCAGGATCTGCTCCGAGTGAGTTGCCGTGAATTGGATGAGACTCCAGAGCACGTGGAAAAGATTAGGAAGTTACCTGATACTCTAGTAAGTAAGGTAAGCACTTACACATTCAGCTTCTAACTCAAATAATGTTTCGATTTCTCTGCCCTTATGAATCCCAGGGAGTGTTATTGTGCGATGATTAGCAGTCTGTGGACCAGAATTTACTGAATGTTTTTTTCCCCTCCTGACCCCCCCTCCCAAAAAAAGTGGGGAGGGGAAAAGGGTCAAAACTCAAGAAACTGCTGTAGTTTCTTCCTATGTAATTGTCTATCAAAATGTATGAGTGTATTCTCCTAAAACTTATGACATGATGGAGGAAAATCCACATTTTTCTGGTACTTTATTCCAACAACTGAACAAACTAGCGAACTTGTTGAGGATCATGCATATTTATTACTTGAATATATCACTGCTGTTTTAAAATGCAGAGAGCTGCACCTTGGCTTTTCTTACAAGTCAGCTAAGCATATGCCTTCAGCAATTATTAATACTTTCTCCCTCTCTGCTCAGACGCTGCTAGTCTACGGTTCTGTAACTGAAATCAACAGGCCTGATCTTTGCTTGAGCCGATGCAGGCACTGACCTTAGCAATATTTTGGCTGGAGCAGTCACTGCATGAAGAATACACTGCAGGTTCTGCGATTCATTTTTTTGCTCCCCTCTGGCCCTATGCTACTAGCAAGACACATACTCCATCCTTATTCAATCTATCTAAACCTGGTACCAGGTGTCTGGTATTGGCTTATATTTGCATGCACAATCTTGTACCAGTTTATATATACAAACAAGAAGTTTACATGCATTTTTTTTCTATTTCCACCTTCTTTTAAAAGGACAAAGATGCTGCAAGACTTCAGGACTTCCAAGAACTGCAGCTGGTTCTAGTGCAGTGACAACTCTTTTAGAAACCCTGCATCAACACCGACAAAGGTCTTGTTACAATAGTAAAGCATCCAAGCTTATGTACTGACCTTCCTCAGCATATCTAGCATGTGAACAGCTCAATCATATGCAACTGTCTTTTGAAGGGAGAGACCCACCTGTGTGTGAGACCTTAAGTTACTGTTAGGATTAATATTGTAATAGTTTATCTTTGATATTTAATATCCCTGTTGCCTTTTTATATTATATTCTATTTAGATACAGGATACTACTAAAGCTGACACGTTTCAGATATAACAAGCTATGTGTATTTGGCAACAGAAGGCAGAAAAAATCTTGGAAACTGTTGATATCAAAAGTGACTACTCCGTCTCTGCTCTTACTAAAGTCTGCTGGAAGTCAGGCACAGTTGGATATAAATCTCACTTCCTGCATCAGTGCCACTCTTGACATCATTTGCTGTACAGAACTGTTCTCTGAAAACAAATTGTGTTTCTGGGTTGCAGCTTCATCTCCAGGTCCGCAGGACCTTCCAACAGAGATGTAAGGGCTAGGGCTAGAGGCCTGAAGGTCTTGGTTTTCCCATCTCCTTTGTCTCTCCACAAACAAGGCCTTTTAATTATTAAAAAGGATGTAGCTTCCAGTCAGCAGTTGAAAGTGGGGTCTAGAAGTCTGACCATATTCACTGAATCACTAGTCTTACTGGAGGCAACATGTGGTGTGTGTTAGAGCAGTAATATTCAAGAACTGGTGACTTCTGTTGGCTAACAACCAAACAGGGTAAGCCTAAGACTCATGTCAAACCATGTTTACTGAACACTTCCATTTCCTCCCCCCACTTAAAAGGAATTGCATAATTAACATGATTTCAGTAACAAATATGCAACTTAATGATTTAAAAAAAAGGTAAAAATTTTACAAGTTTGGGAATAAACCTGGAAGCACCCTTATATGTAAAGCTGAACTCCACCCCTGAACATCTTCAAGTTCTTCACAAGACATGGAAGTTTGTGGGCGCAACAGCTGGAAGGAAAGCTGCCAGGGATGAATGGTGGTTTGTTTTAAACAGCTACTTAATGAGTGGCCCTTTACCAGACACTAATCACTGCTTTTGGCCAATGGTTCAAGTGTTAGTAATTTTAGAAACATGCCTTTTCCTTGAATCAGCCTATCACAGCACAGATCAGGAAAGCTGAGTTAATTTCTGTGGCACAGGTAACAGAAGCAGGATAACAGAAGATGCGTTTTGTTCATTAAAGTGGAAGTATTTTAGCTTTAGAGAACTTGGCATTTGACTAGCCAAACCAAATAAAGATGCATAGATGGGGAGAAGTGAGGCAACTAGCACCATGTACATGGGGTTCTTAAAAGCCTACCTTCTTTATGCATCTCCCCCACCTGTGGCTCTCCATAGCACCACCTGACTGCACTTTTAAATGGCAACCAACTTCAGTCAAATAATTAATCAAAACAGCTGAATGTTTCTAGGTGCTTCATGTCCATGTGTTAAAAAGAACAAACAAGCAAATAGTCATGTGGCTCTAACTCTGAAGCAAGACTTGCATGAAGACCATCTAGGTTAGGGACAGAAGTTGCATACAAACCAGTTTAAGTGATCAGAAACTGGATTAAACCTGGAACAGAAGCTCAGTGCACATAAACCAGTTTCAAAATGGCTGAAACTGTTTTAAAATAAACCTGGTTGAATGTAGTATCAGACTTAACTGATTTGGGTCAAACTGGTTTATGAAACTTCTTGGTTCAAGTTAAATCACAGTCCCTCAGTATCCCAACATGCTTTGCAGCCCTGGGCTGGTCTGTGCTGTCTGCTCCAGAGAGCAGGGCTGGCCCTGCCCCTCTGCTCCCTAGCTGGAGCAGTGAGGGCTGGCTGACAAGGGGGAGGGGGGAGCAAGACCAGCAGGGGATGCAACCCTCTCTACATGGAGAAGAGTGCCCCCCCTTCCCCCCAGCAAACGGGAGGGTGGCTAAACACCCCTTTCCCCACTCAAACTTACTGCTGGCTGCAACTGTAGACTACAAATCCCAGAAGCACGTGGAAGCAGGAAGAGGAAGTGACAAGCATTCCTGTAGAGCCCTGCTGGTGTGATTTTGGACTGTAAATCCCAGAGGACCCAGGGGCAGCAGAAAGAGGAAGTGAACACACAGCCAGAAAGCCGTGCTCTGGCACCCCCCAGCTTCTGACCTGAGGCACTGCAGGCATGTTGCTCCATTTCCTGAATCAAAGGTAAACGTCTGTTCACTCCTGTTTCAATTTAATCTGTGCAGCTTAGACTAAACTGCAAAGACTGAATCGATTCAGTCTCGGGCTCTTTTAACTGTCTGTACCTAGCTCTACTGTCTGCTAAAGGGCAAACTTTACTAGACATTTTATCAACTTCATGATTTACAGCTACACACTTTTAACTCACCACTTCCTCCCCATGCAGACACACTGAAGGTATTGAAACGCTCTGGTAGGTAGACAGTATTATTTCCCTGCATTCTGGCAGACAATGAGCTCCTGAAGTTAGGGCAGACTGGGTGGAAGCCTTAGAACTACGCTGCAATGGCACGTTCTTCTGTTCAGCTGGTGGCTCCGTGACATGGAAATCTGACCCTTCCAGCTGCTACTGATTCATCTTCCTATCAGGAAGATGTAGTGTAAAGACCTAATATTGATTCCTCTTCCACCTCTAACTCCCTTATGAAGCTGTGCTCCTGCAGCTACTTTCAGACAGCTCCAGGCAGCATTCAGGTATTTTTATTAGCTAAGGCACTACAATTTTTTGGCAGAGACTTCAATTTATAATACTGCAAAACATAGTCCAATTTATTGCAGTCCATTGAGACAACACTTACTTTCCTTTGCAGTGCCTGCTGCACTGTATAAACCAAGGCTATCTGAGCACATTTTGTTAAAAGTAGGTATTTCTGTATTTGACTAACACGCCTAAGACTATATGTGGGTGTGGGATAGCACAGCAGATTAACAAAGGGGACTAGTAACTTACTAAAACCAGCCAGCTTTTAATTTAAGTGGTTCAAAACAAGCTACCACATGTTCTAGATTACTTCTGCACCCCTCCATCATACATGATTTTTTTGACACAGCAGCAAGCGCCCTGTCAATCTGTGCCTCAGTACTACTTACACAGTCTAATAACCAGAGTCAACAGAAAGCTGAGCTCCTTCATCCACTACCCACAAGTCGTCCAAAAGTCCTCTCCTCCACCGGCCTGTTGTGCACTCATAAGCTGCGTCAGCAATTGAGGTCCTGCTCTACTCATACTAAGACCTGTATACATTTAGTTTTTCATCAAGCTGCATTCATTCCCCTGGCAGGAAGCAAGGGTTTCTCTTAGCAGTTACTAATTATGACACAAACCTGACTCTAGTGAAAAGTGTTTTTTTTTATGTATGAAATAACTGTGGAACACTTAATAGCTATATGGTTTAGAATTAAGGATACTTACACATCTAGCTTTGCTTAGAAAAATAAAAACGGTTGCCTTTTTTTTTTTTTTTAATATTGCCTCAGTTACTGAAGAGGTTAGCTATGGAACAATTCCCACAACTCTTTACAAAGAGGAACTATTAGCTTTATATTAACACTAAAACACTAACAAGTCTACTGCCCATAACAAACTGTCGCTGATAGAGTCAGTATATACATTTAGAGAAATATTTTTATGTTTTATGCAGTTTGATCAGTTTTCAGGTGAACTAGCTATATCAACTACTAATTTCTTTGAACTGAATAAAGACTGGGAATGAGAAAAGCATCACTGATGCTCTTAGCCAATATCAGCTGTTTCAAGCAAACAGATTTTTACATCTTTGTCTTTAGCCCTAAATCTCTGACTTTTAATACAATCACCTTGGGGGTTAATTAGTAGCAGATGGTCTCAAACTTAAACACAAAATGCCAAGGCTTGAGGCTACTCCCAATGCTCAGCTTTATTGCTGGGATACTGCTCTGAACACTGTCAAACTGAGCTTTCAGCTGAGATTAACTTGTGAAAGCTCATTACAACAAGGGCTTTCACAAACCTATTCCTGCAGTTAATGGGAAATTTGCGTTTCTACAAGGAAAGTCAGGTTCAAGAGGGCCCAGTAAGAGAGAAAAGGTAAGAAAGAACTGGCAGCTAAGCCTTAAGAGACGGTAAGCAACTCAGCAGCAGAACCACAGTATAGGTGTGTCTGCCTCATCTTTAACACAATCTTTTTGCCTACATAGAGCTGAGGAAGTTTCAATACAATTCTTACAAAACAACCCTGAAAAGCTTTTAAGCCAAGATTTAGATGCTGACATGTCACTCCAGGCATGGTCTAAAGCTGAAGTATCATTCCTTAGTCTTGCTTTTCTCTGGAGATGGATGAGTAGCAGCCTTTGTCCTGCCAATAAGGATGTTCATTACAATCTGAAACAGATGCTGTTAATGAAGTTATAGTTGCAACTACACCAGTAGATCAGCTACTCAATGTTATTTTTTCCAATTTTTCTTCAGCTTCAAGCCAGTAGCAATTATATCTTTACTTCAAACAGCTACTTTCCCCTTTGACAGAGGTGCATATAGCTTAGAAACCACGGGCATTTTATACGCATACGTTTGTCTGCTCCGACGTGCTAGAAATCCAGCACGTCAGAACAGACTCGATTAATCTAGTCTGCTTTGTGTGCTAGCTGATGTGCCCCGTGCTGTGTCATGTGTATTTGTATAAACAGCAAAATGCACACGAGTGCTGAGAAAAAGGAAGCAGTGCGCTTTTGCACACACACCTTTGAAGGGTTTTAGTTGAAAGTGCGCTGCCGCCATTTTCTCAGCACCGACACACATTTCACAATTTATACAAATGCATGTGCCACAAAAGTGTAGAAGACGTGGTGCAAAAGTGTACAAATGCCCCGTGCTTTTAACAGAAGTCATTACATTTCAACACCATCATCCATGTGACAGTACACTGTGTACTGCAATAGAATTACTTGCCCTTGTGAAGGGTAAGAACTTTTTAAAATTAATTTTCTGTCCTAGATTGAATAATGGCCTACTGATTTTCTATAATCTGACCCCAAACCCTGAAAGTGCTGAAGTACAACTTGCATTTTCATGACTAGAGTTTTACAAGATGTCAGCTCATGTTACCAAATTCAATCCAACACCTTCTACTCCTATGCAAAACATGGTCTAAGCTAAGTTCTCCAGTGCCTCACACCTCGTTTAGCCATTTATAACCCAGCAAAGCAGAACATGTAGACCGAAAAATGCTACTAGCCCAACACATACCAATCATATATTGGAATAACATTCACTGGCTATCTCCAATTTCTGAGGACAGGATGATTTTGCTGATATAGCTGGTGATGATATAGTTGGGGATACTCCTGCTCTGAGCAGTGGGTTGGACTAGATGACCCCGAGGTCCTTTCCAGCCCTCATTTTCTGTGATTCTGTAAGTCTGTTGCGATTCCGACGAGCACACAACTTTTGGCTTCTGTGCCTGCAACTCCATACAGCTCCTTTCCTATCTATGAAAGAATATTTATCACAGAAAATCCGTTCAACTGAATGTACAAGGATAAATACCAGGCAGAACAGAGACTGCTCTTGAAAGATCTGATCCAGAGAATGGAATAACATGGCACAGAAGTCAAAGAGCAGCAGTCAGAAACGGAATTGTCTCATGTTCCATTTCATTAGAGAGACCAAGTTACATGATGTCTGAAGTAAATGTTTCCACAAATAATCCAATTAACAGAGGCTCCATATTAACTTTCTCTAAAGACGCTTGTCATGCTCCCTGATCAACATTCAGACCCAGAATGCATAATGCTAACACGAAGACTAATCAAATGGTTTTTATTTTGAATGCTGGAGCATTGCAAAGATTCAACCCACCCCTTCCTCACCACCAGTCAATTGACATAAGCTTTGTTGCAATACAACCTCACAGGAGAGTTTAGTGTAGGAAAAAAAAAAAACCAAAAAAAAAAACACCACACATTCCAAACTACTTTAATACACAAAATATGTCCACTTATTTTGCCTAACTTCCAATGAAGTGTTTGAATTGCTGTTAGGATGCAAACATGGCAGCAGTATAGTACTGTAGGAAAATAGACACCGGGACTGACATTGCTTTAATATCTCAATGGCTTTACTTTCTATCACTCAGAAAACTGAAACCTCTTTTTGTGTTTTGAATTTCCATTCTGATTAAGTAGGGGTATATACCTGAAGGTGGGGAGAAAGGGCCTCTTCGAAACTTTTTCTAATCTGCATTAGAGGGAAAAACATAGCCATGTTTTATACTTTATTTGACTCCTAAGAAAATAAAGTGTGGCAAAAATCCTGTAGCTTACAATAATGTGCGACTGTTTAAGAAGTAACCAGGAGTTAGAAGGTACTCGTCCGTTAACAGTTAGGTTTTAGGAACAACTACATTGAAAAAGTCAAAAAGGAAGAAAACCAGAATAACTGACCATCCAAATGAATGGACAAGCTCGAAGACACAAATAAATTTATTAAGAAATAAGTGTATTTAATACTAAACGTTCAATGACAGAGACAATCAAATCTGTAACAGAAATTCAAAGATACTTTATTATTTCCATTTCTGGTATATCAAGAAGCTAGGTAGAGCCTAGTTGTAAAAATGGGATTAATTTTAGTTTGCTTCACACAAATACTAAACATTTATTTCTGTGTTTTAAAGTCCAAGAATGAAAACTTGCAATTAAACACTGAGCAAGCCATGTGTTCAGGTTATGTTGGTTTCTTAAAAAGTCTTAAAAGAAAAAAAAAAAAGATACAGGACTTATATATTTTCAGTAGCACATATGCTATTAACACATCCCTCTGAACTCTGGGAGGTAACACCAGTCCTGAATTAAATTTTATAAAAAATTCTAACTGAACTTAATATTTTTCTACGTCACTACAGCTTTCTTTCACCTCATTTTAAAGCAGATCTTCATTAAGCTGTCTTCCGGATTCTTCACAGACTCTTCACGTGGGAGTCCTATAATGCAAAATTTTGGGAAAGCAGACAATTAAACAACGCAAAGAGAGTTTAGATTACCATTCCTAAATATTGGCCCAGTTGTTAGCTGTCATCTTACTCTACTACGACGTCAACACTGACCAGTAGGGGCTTTAGGAGCAATACTGTCATATTAATAGTTTAAGGATGGCACATTAAGTGTTTAAGAGTTCCTAGCATAAATAGTGAAGCTCTACTAATAGCTTATGTTGCAAGGAGCTGATGTAAAATCAGAGGTATTCTCCAAGTGTTAGTTCCTTATTTTAGGAATATATCTAAGAATCCTTTATTTAAGCAAGCTAGGTCAAGAAATGGAAGAAAACTTTTAAGGTTGATACAGTATTTTTATGTCCTAATGTTTAGGTTTTTTTTATAATAAATCAGAATGGTCAGCACACATTCTTGCCACGTAGTACTGTAACAGTTTCAGGGCATCTGGCCTTTGTATTTACATTTGCCTCACAAGTCTGATTTCAGCCATTATACTGCATGGTACTATGGCCGACTGCAAATTCTCCTACACAGTAGGAAATATTAAACACATACCTCTTAAAGACTTGAATTGCATTGAATGTAACAAGGCGGTTATTATGTAGTGTTTATTGCATTTAAAACTCTTTAAAGATATCTAATTCTGGGCAGCACTGCATCCCTACATACAGTTGAAAGAAAATTCCATTCTGTTAACATCAGATTTACAGTTTTCACACAATACACAAAAATCCTTTTCACTATCTTGTAAATAAAAACACAACAGTAAGCTTAAAGATTACAGGCAACAGCATTCAAACATGGATGTGGGTAGAGAAAGGAGTACCTGGCATGAGTACCTGCTTAGTTTGACTGAATCCTTGATTTTTAATTTGGCTTTTCATGGGCCGCTCACAACACCAACGCTGTGTGAGGTATGGTAGTCAGCTGCAATAATTCATAAACCCTACACTTCCATCAATCCAATGCTACTGGCTCTCGAGTTACAGAACAAACTGCATTAGAATGCAAGGCAATAAAGCAAAAAAAACTAGAAACATCCTTGACAAAGAAATACTAGCAGTTTATATAAAAACAAAGTAGTCCAACATGTGCCTCAAATATTAAGTATTAAAGCAAATGTTTCTGCTGATGTACCAACACAATATGGACTTAAATACAAAAAACAGTTCAATTTCTTTTAAAAAAAAGCGACAACAAAATCCCTAAAATTAAAAAAAGGATAATTAAGTTTTCTATGGTGACCATATTACAAGTATGTTCCAAAGAGGCACACTAATGGGGGCACGAGTCTGCTACAAAATAGCCGAGACAAAACAATGTACCTCAAAATGTTTTGCAGGACTACACTGTCTTTTCCTTCAGAAGGTGCTTTAGTTAGTCTTCTTACTTGGCTTAGTTCCATCTTCATCTGTGCATACTTACGCTGCACTGTTAAACAGTAACAAAAAGCCCTAATCAAAGTTTGAAATAATGCACTTACCTCTGTCTGATCTGAGGTCATATCAGATCAGTTTTAATTGGACTGAGTGTCACCTTCAGATTTAATGTCTTCACTGGTCCCATTGACCTCATTCTTAGTCTCACTCTCCTTCGAGTCTGTGTTTGTGTCTTCACTCTGTTTTTCTCGACTACTGGACTTCATACTACTTTTTTTATCATCAGATCCCCTCTTTTCTGCCATGAGAGAAGACATTACCATGGATTTCAAAGTAAAAACACATACATTGCACAAGAGGTATGGACCATACAAGATCGAACCAAATCATTACTACTATAAACTGAAACTAGCAGCAAAGTTGTAGGAAAATGCTTTTGCCTAATTATGTTAGAAGGGGCAGGATAGAAGGAAAGGAAAAAAAGTCAGCAGGGGATGGGAGGAGGCAGGAAAGACAGCTCAGAAAAGGAGCAGTTACTCAGCTGCATGCTTGAAGACGAAAAGTGGGGAGCATATGGTTATGTTTGACTGCCTAGCACCCTTACTTAAAGGAGCCAACATTATAGGCCCCAAATAAACTGATGTCCTTATCACCTCCACCATATACATCTCTCGTTAAACGCGGCTCTTGAGCATAGAATCAAGAAGCAACAAAAGGATAAGACAGTGCTACTCGGTCACTTACTGAACCAAAACAAGTTGCAGGAGGGAGAGAGCAAACCAGTAATTCTCAACCAAGTTGCAGTGGCATCCTTTTAAGGGCGTTACACAGTTTTAGTACCGTCAGGTATGCAAACACCTACATGATGATTCACAATTAAAACCCAGGTATTTTTAATATGAATCCATAGTATCAAAAACATTCTGACCTGTTGTGGTCTTTCTGAGTTCTCTGCAAGAGGAGAACTGCTCTATTTTTCTGTAGCCAAAAAACAAATGAAAGCCAAGAACTGGCATTTTCTGAGGGGTGTCTCAAGTCTAAGGAGGCTGAGAACCAATGAGGGAAAATGGACAGCCAGGAAGTACCCAACCATAAAAATGCAACTAGGTTTGAAACATGGATCAAGAGGAATACCAAAGTTGACTTCACTGGGACAAAAACTGCAAAGGAAGTTGTTTCAGGTACGTGCTTTAGCCTGCACTTAATTTCTCATTCGATTTTCCCATTCCCAGTTACAGAAAAGCTGGGATAAACCTACCAAAGACAGAAAAACAGCAATCTGCTTAACAGGAACAGATCAAAAGGACCCCACAATGAATTCAGGAGTTAGATGTGTGACTGTCAACAGAGCATGGTATATTGCTGAAAAGCTGATATTTTCTTGTCTTTGATCTTCAGAGTGAAGGAATAATGCCAAAAGCAGCAAAGTTTTCCAGGGAAAGAAAAGTATTCACATAGTTATAGGTATCTGTCTCTTCCCTAAATGCATAAGTTTAAACGCACACAAATTTTAGTTGCTCTTGTCACTTCAAACCACATGTATGATCAGAAGCACAATTTGAAAAATTTTAGAAGCCCACCTATAGAATGAGACCATTCAAGCTCTCTCAGATGAATTTATGCCCAATTATCAAGGTACCAAAAAGTGTAATCCACAAGCTAAAAACTTCTAGGGTGTAGTATCTGTACTGGCATAGCACTTCTACACTTCAGAAGAGAGGAGGAGAAAAAGTTAAGTTTTAGAAAAGGAGTAAGATTGCAGCCTTGCTTTGTTCAGATAAACCACCTAAAAGGGAAAAACCACAAACCCAAGAGGCAGAAAACTGCCTAGAGAACACTGGAACTGAAGGTTTCATCAAAAGCAGTACATCCAGTGTAATGGGTGGAGAATGCATGTACTGACATCCAAACAGTTAAAACTCTTACTGGTGCTGCCTGAGTGCCTATCTACCCTCTCTGCCATCACTGCTCAGGAAGATTGCACTCTAACTGACCTTGTGGAAAAGTCTTCTTTTTGTCCTACACGCATCTTCGAAACACATGCAGATCCACTGAGGAACAGTAGTCTTGTTTCCCCGCAGAGGACTAGTAGTCAGTCCAATAATCTTATCTTCTGTCCTATGTAGGTATGGTAGATCTTAATGGCCCTACGGATGTGCAGAGTGCACACGGTTGTTTTGTTTTGTTTTGTTTTTTTGTTTCTGAGGTTTGGGGAGATAGGAACATTTATTTTGGAATGTAAAGAAAGTACTGCTAACCTGTGGTGTCAAAGATAAACCTGCACTAAAAACCAGCCTGTCTTCCAAGACCCCAAAAACAGGATAGTCACTGATGATAGCACCTGGATGCTGTTAAGCAGAACCGACCAATATTTAGAACAAGCTAACTAGCTAATGAACCGAGTTTCTTTTGCTCCTGGAATATCTGCACGCAGGTGGCAAGTTCCTATAATTTATTACTCAGTCATAATTGCTTGAGAATTTTTTTTATTATTCTTTTGAACTGTAGGTGCTTTTTGTAGCTTTTTCAAATTTCCTGTGATGACCTATAAGCTATCTGAATGCAGGCACAACTATTTCTGAATTAGTATTTGTACAGGGAACTGAAGTTGCCCTTTTAATGTAAACAAAATATTAAATTGTTTACGGCATACAACCTCAGTGCATGCATCTAACATGCTGCCATTTTTCCTTTTTTTGAAGAATTCACAAATCTTAAAATTGCTAATTCTGAACATAAGAAAAGGGGGGGGGGAAAGAAAAACCCCCCATCTTTTTCAGGCACTCCATTTTTTTTTTTAAATGGATGAGGTTAGCGGAAGTAATATAGTAACCAGGCACAGGAGTTCCAACCCCCCTCTCCCCCCAAATAAACAACACCCCCCCAAAAAACAATCCTTAAGAATTAAAAAGCTAGCTGGAGAATAGAAGAAAAAGCTCACAAGTTTTACACAAAACGTTGTTTCCATGTATTTATTGCCAGTTCTACTTAAGCCTATTTCTGAAGGGAAAATGTTAGCTTTTATTAAATCACCTTTTTTCTTCTGTCAGAATCTCACAGTAATTGCAAAGTACTGTAATATAGGGACTGGAACTCAGGACTCGAGGACTGTTGTCTGACCTCTGGTTTGCTGTGTATCGTCAGACAAGTCAGGTCGTGTGTACCACCGTTTGTTGACAGTGTGGAGGCTGAATGTAGGGTTTTGAAGCAATCTGAGCTTTCAAGACTAAAGGCACTATAGAAGTATTACTTTCAGCTACTCTCTGGCCGCTGACTTTTAAATGCTGATCCCTGATGGATATGAAGGTTAATAAAAATCTCAAAATCTCTTTGCATTGCATTAGGTCTAACGGAGTCAACAGAATAATTGGTAATAGGGTCTTAACACTAGACTGTATATGAAGTCGACTGAGAAGCTAGCAACATTATTATTCATTGCTAATTATGATGCTTGGACCTTCAAAGCCCAGTACTTAAGGACAGTGTCTATAAATGCAAATTAATGGAAAAGAACTTTCAAAATTGGAAACGGAGTGGAATTTACAATTTTTTTAGCTCAAGAATTCCATGCCTGATGTAATAGATAGAGAAATCTTTCTAGATTTCAAGAGCATATTTCTCTCTCCTAAAAAAACATCTTTCGCATTACAGTTTTGCTCCACGGCACTACTAATAATTTATCAATACTACTGTACATTTGTTACAGTAGTGCAGGGACACAGCCAGGCACCCAGAGCACAGTTAACTCCTGATAGCTACGTGATTGTGGCTGCCAGGAGCAGGCACTTGTTTCTCCTCCACTACAAGTTGCACCTGACTCAGTTCAATGGAGCAGGGAGTAGCCTGCAAACAGACCAAAAGGAAAATTTTACTCAGTTAAGAACTAAAATATTTAAGTGCTGGAGATATTCCGCTTATGGGAAGATTAAGGATAGAACTAGGAACCTATATATCATGTGTGATCTCAATAATGGAAATGATTTTAGCAACACACACAAATTACTATGTTACATGTATACAACCAGACTACCCGACCAGCTGAACACTAGAAATCTGTCTTACCTTAAGTGAAATAAATAATCAATGTATTAGGTGGAAGGAAAGTAACTACTGAATAGGTACATGGTATGGAGGTCTGGCCTTGTGTGTAACACAAAGCAAGTGGCAAAGCATACCTCTAACTGGGAGCTCAAAATTAGATAATACTCTGGAGAGGAACATCCTGGCATTAGGCAGAACATCCTGTTAGAAAATCAGAAATGATACTGCTCAAAGTGTCTAACAAAGTATGTGATATAGCCATATTTTGGCAACTTACCTATTACGCATTTATTGAAGAAATGGAAAAATAAGAGTATGGCAAATCAGCTAACATTTAAACTGTGGCTTTCATCCCAGAGAATCTCAAAGTACAAGTCAGAATCACTTCATGAGTTACTGAAATGAAATCTTATCTAATGTAAACTGTGCCGTGTTTCACAAAGGATATCACTTGGCAACCCAAAAGAAACTTTGTTTTGGAGTCTAGAAGTGAACAGGGTATTCAACTGAAGTTTCAGAAAAATATTAAAAATGGCAATTTATCACAAATACTGTATTTCTATAGCATCTGTTATGTTCACAAAAGTTCAGAATGCCCTGTTCTACATCTGCTTCATTTGTAAAGCCCAACTTAGCCCAAGGTGTCATGGATACAGGTTAGGATGATAAGAGGTCTCAGAAGTTAGTGAAAACTAAGGTAATGTTTTGTTTTTTTTAATCAGAGGAAATTAAAAAGATACATAATAGAAACGTACAGAAAAGGAAGATACCATAAACAGTAAACCAAAACAAACAAAAATACATACAAAGTAAGGAAGCAACTTTTAATGGAAATGGTAAAACAAAAGATACATAACAAATTAAGAAAACTACTTTTAATATCACTGAAAGGCCATTATAGAACTGACAGCTAGGGGACAGCAACAGAAAATATAATTTAATATGTTAAATAGTTATTGTGGCCTCTGGGTTTTTCAGAAGTCAGTCAACAGACAAAACCTCACAGCTTTTTTTGGAGGCAGTATAGTAATGCGATTTGTGTTGTGACTTTAAATAAGAAAGTGAAAATAGCAGTGTTGGTCTCGAGGGAAAAGGATGAGGGAAAGGACAGAGTGCCTCCTATTACTCACTGCTGACACACAGTTTGCTTACTTTGATTTCAGGTCTACAGTTATCCTATGAAAACAAACAAACATTCTTGGTCCCTGATTTATGGGGCCTCAGAGGTAAGACTGGTTCCTGATTGTTTAAGTGCACCATACCAACTAACCTTTTTCTTTAGATTTCCTGTCTTGTTCTCTATCTCTGCTTTTGCTTCTGTGCTTGTACGATTTCCGATCACGACTCTTCGATCGTCTCCTATCCCGGCTGCGAGACCTGTGTTTTCTTTCTGACCGATCATGGCTTCGGCTTCTTCGTCGATCTCTACTCCTTACCAGAGAAAATTTGAAGTAGAAAAAGAATATCAACTGATGTTCACAGCTCAAGGAAAAGAGTGCTTTGTCTTTCACTAGATTGCCATTCTACTCCTGTCTGGTTTAAAAGGATTAATACTGTGAAAGGTCAAGTTTTGCTTATAACCCTTCCCTTTTGCAATTAGTTATCAATACTTTAAAACCTACATCCACTTTCTTCTTCATTTATTCAAATGCCACAACTACCTGTGTCCAATTGACGGTTCTTGGGAATGACTAATTAAAGAAAATAATCTTTACAAAGATAAATACTTCAGCTATACTTTGAAAGCATTTGTCATCTTAAAGCTGATCTCAGAACACACATACCACAGTGGATTAGATTTTGCACCAGCCATCTTTCTGAGTTACTCCCTGAAAACAGCAAGAACCGCCACTACATGGAGAAGTTTAATGGAGCTAACAGCCAACACATCCATAGAATCATAGAAAATGGGGGATGATCTCAGGAGGTCATCTCGTCCAGCCCCCTGTTTAAGACAGGACCATCCCCAACTAGATTATTGCAGCCAGGGGTTTGTCAAGCCAGGCCTTTAAAACCTGCAAGGATGGAAATTCCACCCCCCCAAGGCAGCCCATTCCTGTGCTTTGCCACCTTCCTAGTGAGAAAGTTTTTCCTAATATCCAACTTAAACCTCTCTTACTGCAACTTGAGACCACTGCTCCTTGTTTTGTCATCATTGAGAACAGTCTAGGTCCAATGTGATGCTTAAGTTCCTAATTTTAAAGAATCAGTTCCCCAAAGCCACACACTGCTCACTGGATGCTCATTTTTTGAGCATACTTTTGCTTTGGTAACATTTCAGAATTAGTTTTTCATTTTAAAGTCTGTATTCAATGGTGCTCGTCCTACACTTGCCTGTAAACAATTTAAAGTGCAGGGAAACCTGCTAAACATCATGCTGTTGTACACCATAAAAGATCAGTACACTTCACTGCTTCTCTAACCAGAATGCATTGCACACACCAGTGGTTTCTTGATTTCCTCCACTCTAACCTCAACAGCTCTCATCTACCTTCACTGTAGGGACTCTCAATGTTCTGTTCTCTCCATGCACGTGGTTCTCTGCACATTCCACCCCATTCCCTTTTCCTCAGCATATATCTCCCCGCCCCCTGCGCTATCTGTTCTGTATGCTCCAGTCTCCCTTTGCATTTTCCAGTGTAACTATGTGTTCCTTTCCTTACATTGCCTGCTTCCCATGCTTTTGTCGCATAATTCTTCCCCACTTAGTGGGGTATCAGGCACCCACTGCCCTCCAATTCTTTCCGTGAGTTGGGAAAGTCTTTCAGAACATCAACATTTTATACATCTGTTTTTGTAGGTCAGGAAGAGGCCATTTAAAGGGCACAGTTAGAGGTGGTTGAACTTGCTATACTTAATAATCAGATGCCAGGACTCCTACATTTTACCAAAAATCAGCAGGTTTTTGCCCACTGATGCTTTGAAGATTCCTTCATCAATTCCAAAATTCAGATGTGGCATTCAAAAGTTACTATGTTAAAGGTAGACAAATGCCTTCAAGATGAGTGGCAAGATCTCCCTTAACTTATCCAGCAAACTTACCAGAACTGTTCCTTTACAAGTCCAAAAGTCCTCTAGATACACAGGTGTACTTGGTAGCTGTGTTGGTCTGAGACAAAGACATACAGAAAACTAGAACTCTTGGTTCCAAAATGATACCTTTTGTAAAAGGTATCATTTTGGAACCAAGAGTTCTAGTTTTCTGTATGTCTCTAGATACACAGCTCACCAGTATAAATTGATCTCCCCCGAAAAAACCCAGATGTTCTGATCTGAGGTACCTGCTTCGCCTTCTTTCTCTGCTTCTTGATCTTTTGTAGTCCCGTGATCGGCTGCATCTTCTGTCAGATGTTCTGCTTGAATGTCTGCTACGGGAACGACTCCTTTTGCGCCTCTCTCTGTCACGAGCCCTCTCTTTTTCCTTTTCTTCTTCTTCACGCCTTCTCTTCCGTTCCCGCTCTTCTCTTTCACGCTCTCTCTCTTTCTCTCTTTCTTCTCGCTCTTGCTTCTCCTTTTTTAACCGGTCATCCCGCTCAGGTTCTTCAGTTCTTTTCCTTAACTTTTCCTTAAAGAACAGCCAAGTGTAAGGATTAACAGAAGGAAAAAACACTGCTCAAGTGAAACTATGAAACATGACTAATTTACTACATTTGAATGAACAATACTTAATGTTCAAAAACCAAAGAACAGCTTGCTTTTTTTCTTTAACACATACACACAGAGCAGGTTTTTTTTTTTGCCACTTCGGTACTTCCTAAAACTTAAGGATGAAAAGACTCAGAGCTCAGACAAGTGTTGTGGGAAAAGGAGGGGGGAAAAAAAAGGTTACGGATGTATGGAAGAGAACCAAACAGAAGAGTAAGTAAGGTGCACATGCCTGTGTGTTTTAGGTCTCATCTAACAACATAACCCTCAACTCTAGTTTGGTACTTTAAGTGTTACTATAAATAATTCCTATGTAAAGTTACTGCTGTGCATTAAATTATTTCTATTAAAGCAAATTTAAGTATTAGCTGAACAACGATGACAGAACATGGAAAAAGATAACCACACGCTGTAGGAGACTGCCCAATGTGTCCCCCTCAAATCATCTTACTTTTGAAAGGGGAAAAAAACCTCACTTCAAATATTTTTAAAAAAGAGCACCCTCAGGTTTCTCAGCTCTCACATCCTCAGTAAACCAAAGCTGGATGTTTCTTATGTTTCAGGCTCCAATTCTTCGTTGTTTTCAAGCTCCTAATGGCTGAAGCTCAACTGGTGAGCTTTGCTCCCATAAAGCTTGATTTCAGTGCTCTTCAGAGCAAATCAAGACTGGAGTGCCTCCCCAAACAAAGTGATTTGTAATGGTTTTGGCTGTCTTCCAAGCCTCTAGTAATATCAGGGGTTCTACTGCAGACTTTATATTTAACGTGCTTTCAACTCAGAAATATACTTCTTACAGACACAATAATATCCCTATAAAAATGGTCAGGTATGCAAACCCCCTTCTCTCAATCTTGTGTCAATTCAAATACTTCAGTATTGTCCCTTCCTGGTAATAGATGCAAGAGATTTCTGCAATATCATGTATTTCAGGAGAGTTCACTAGTCATGTCATCTCTCCCATCTACAGGGAAGAAACATTCCTAATGGTTAAAAGCTAATATATACAAACAGGTTTTTTTAATTCCAGTGAATTTTTTTTTTTTTTTAGTGATAGGGTTGTCATATTTGTGATACTGCATTCTGGGATAGCTTCACTGAACCAGAAAATATGAAGAGGGCTGTATATCAATACAGGAAAAATATTGTCAAAACAAAATTGATAGCATCCTGTGTTGAATGCTAGCAAGAGCTGCATAAGTAAGTGGTTTTAAGATTAATCAAACTTTCACATTCTTGGCTTCATACTTTGGGTAGTATTTCCAAACGTTACCGATTTAGGAATCTACATTCATTAAAAAAAATGACTTGCACGCTTCAATGCTCACAATCCACTGAAAAGCATATGAGGGGTGATCAAAAAGTTCTAAGACTTAGCCTTTACTTTAAAGAATAGAGTACAAACAACATTTTTATGAGCTGTCCCCTTCAAAGTAAACTCCCCCGGATGATATGCACTTGTCCCAACATTCCTGCCACTTTTGGAAGCAATGCTGGAAGTCTTCAACTGTGAGGTTTTTTTTGAGTTCTGCTTTCACATTCTTATGGATGGTTGGAATGTCATCAAATCTCCTTCCTTTCAGTTTCATTTTGATTTTTGGGAACAGAAAAAAAATCACAGGCAAGGTCAGGTGAATATGGAGGGTGTGGTATCACAGGAATGTTTCAGCCAAAAATTCTTGAATGGAGACAGCAGTGTGTGAAGGAGCATTGTCATGGTGCAGAAACCATCGACCATTTTCACACAGCTTGTGGCGGTTTCTTCCAACTTTATCCCTCAGTCGAATCAAAACCTCTTTATAGAAGGCCTGATTGATTGTTTGACCGCTCGGTACAAATTCCTGATGAACAATACCCTGAACATCAAGTCTTAGAACTTTTTGATCAAACCACATACTTGTTACCTTTGAATTATTTACTATTTAAAGTCAGTTCTTCAACACCAAACAGCCAAACACTGAAATTAGGAATCTGTATGTAAAAACACCTGCATTTTGCCAACCATCTGGAATGCAAATAGTTAACATACAAAAAAGGGTATTTTTTTCCTCTGATCATCCCAAGTTACACTCACTTTTAGGTCTTCTACAGTAGCTTTTATTTTAGCATAACCCATGTGCTGCTTCCCCATCAAGTGGTCATCTACCCTGGACTGTGCATCTCCTACAATTAAAAAGGCTCCACAGACTTCACACACTTCCATCTGCTTTTCTTGGGCTGCAAAGCTCTCAATCGTCTGTAAGAGAAAAATATTGGTTAGAAGAAAAGTTTTGACACAAAGTCTGTCAAGAGGCTTTGCACTTCTTACCTTATCAACTGCTGCAGTGCTGTCAAGGGAATTCCACCTTTCAACAAAGCTTACAATTACCTTCTTTATCTTCACAATAATATTAACTAACCTACATATTATGCCCACTATGAAGAACACAGCAAAAACAAACCCCCACAAACTGCTAGGTTTAACATGCTAATTGAAGGCACTGCACAGACTATATGAAGTCTGTACACTATAATAAATACTCAACTGTATGAGACAGAAACCAAGTCTTACTCTTCTCTTCATTGTGAAGGATACAGATGCCTATTAACTACAGCTAGACCTAGCTGCATGATAGTAATTCAACGTTAAATCTAATTTATAATGCATTAAGGACAATTTAAAGACAGTCCATAGTAGATACATATGTACAGAGATGCCTGTTCAAAGATGTCCAACAGAAAAGTTTTGGAGAATTTGAAAAACACTGGAATGCCCAAAATGAAAAGGAAGGTAGGCCTTCAAGGAAACTATGGGAATGTTTGAAATATTTTAATACACTACAAACTCACTACAGCCTAAATCAGAAGTTACTCCCATGTAAGGTTCATATGCTACATTGCACAAATGTAAGTTCCACTTGTAACCATGAACAAAGAGCAGTCCAAGTACAGTATCAGAGCAAGGTATCACTGAAATTTAGTCTAAACTTCACACACCAAGTTCTTTTCATAGTCTAAAGCTAGCCATTTACTTCAGTTTCCCCAACTGTAAAAGTTAGAGATAAATCTGTTGCTACCTAATAGGAATATGCTGCTAAGCATCCTGAAAACAAAGGGAGCCAAACTCAAGCCTTAACAGCGTACGTACCTTCAGCAATCTCAAAGGAGCTGTATGTGTACATGAAAGCCACTCAAATTGCACAAAAATAAAAAGGTTAATTAACTTCAACAAAGCCTTCTAAAATATTGATGTACAAGGAAGTATAAAAAAACCTCACCAAGAACAAAGTTGGGTAAGAACTGGAGCTGGTTGGAAAATTTCTACAAAAATGAAAAAGCCATAAAGAGAACACGGATTGGCAACCTTTTACTAACAGCAGGTTATTCCTTCTGACCTAGCTGATGCCACAGGCTGCCATCCCCTGCACTGCCCCAGTTGTTCCTGCTCTGGACAGAGGGGCTGATCTTTTCTCTCCTCGACCCCAATGCAGGCTGCTCAGAAAGATATACTGAAGGATAATTTAGAGGGACTAATTTGGTAAGCATAGCCAAGAAACACGTCTGAATTAGTTACAATCCTGTCTTATCAGACTGACTTTTAAAGAATGCCAGAACAGTAGCTCGGAAGGGTCAGTGAAATTAATGAAGCAAATGTCTTCTAATTCAAAGGTCAACGAAAGGATAAAATGTCGGTATTTAAAAGCTACCGCAGAGCTCATCAATGCCTACAGGAGAAAAAAAAAGGAAACACAATGCTCCTTGTGTTTGAATGATAATGGGTAAACCTAGAAAGCACACATGGTGGCGTTGAAGGAATAGAAATGATTTAATTTTCTTTACAAGAGGCTGAAAGGGTCTTCCAATTTAAGGCAGTTTATTTAGCTCAACAAATGCTGCAATGAGAGAGGCTGAAAAATTAAGTTTTTAGTAACTGGACAAATTATCATATTGCTTTCATCTTAATCAGGTCCTGTTCACCATCCCTCCCCCCTCAATACTTTCCAACTCCTTCCCTTAAAGGACAGAAAAAAATGAAACTGCAAAAATGCTTATAAAATTAAATAATAGTTGGGGAATTTTAACTAATCAATACATACTCAACACCACCAATTTAGATACATCATGGAATATGAATTTCAGGGTATGCCTACACTGAAAATTAGAGGTGTGTCTGCAATTCATGTAGACAGCTGTGAGCTAATGAAGGTATCAATGCTAAGTTTGCAGCACAACTGTGTGGTCTCCAGCCCTAGGCATTTACCCCAGTCTCATGCCATCGAAGCTGAAGCTCAACTATTGCTGGTATCAGAGTTAATAAAATTAAGGCTAGCTCTAGTATGTTTGCGTGACCTGCACACAAATGCTGAATAAGAGAGTGAACCTACCTTAAAGGAGTTTAGAAGGAAAAAGTTTTAGATGAAGTGTACAATCTTGATCAAGGCTACATGAAGTCTTAAAGACTGACACACTAAAAAAAAAAACCCCTCTCAGAATCAGCCCCAGTTTGATTACAAAGGGAAGATATTTTGACAAGGAAGTAATACTTTAAGGTCACGTTATTTCTTTCCGTTTTTCCCCAGTGAATTCTGGAAATTAAGCTATTATGTCACAAGCATATATTTGTTCAGGTTCTCTTGCTGCTGAGCTCTGAAATAACTGTAACAAGAACAGCTCATACAGGTCTTACTTACTGAAGTTGTAGACCTGAGCAACTCTCTCTCTTCCTTTAACTGTTCAACAAGTTTCATCATTCCTTGGGCCTCTTCCACTTTTCCTTCTGAACCCAGTTCTTCAATCTGAAGGACACAAACACACACACACACAGAGTCAGACTCCCTTAAAGTGAGCATCTGAGTAATACGTTCTGTTTTAGAGAATTCAACTCACTTGTTGCAGTAGTACATCAATTTTGTCAGTTAACACTTGAATCTTCTCTTCATTTTTACCAGTAGGTCCAGCTGCTTGCTAAATGTTAAAAATGAACACACACAGAATTAAGTCCCTACTCAAAAAATAAATGGATAAACAATGCAGTTGCTCAAAATCTCATTAATTGCTCAGTAAAGAAACAAAAGTAGGGACAAGGTTTAACTTGAAAACTTAAATGCTCAGGTCAATTCATAGAGTATGAACCAGCACATGGCATTTTATCTGGCAACATGGTAGGCAAGAAAAACAAAAAACTTACATACACCTTACTTATGTATCTGAAAATACTACAGGGGAAATTTAAAAGAAACGCTATACCATCACTTGGGTGTTGATAAAAAGGAAACATTAACTTTTAACCTTGTTTTGGTGCCGGTACTTTCCAGGATTCTAACTCCTGGGTCCTAGATCCTTAGAGCAAGAACAACAGACCACCTCCCTTTTTAGACTTCAACCTCTGACAATGGCAATGGAAGGATGGAGCACGAGGCAGGCCTAACTGAGGGATTCACTCCATCCTCTGCAGATTACAAATAATGCCTTTAAAGCCCTGCTTGCCTCAAAAGTTTTTGCATGTTTTCGTTTGGGGGAAGTCTCGTGAACAGGCATGCCAAGAAGCACCTCAGCCAAGGTTTAGCAACTAGGAAGCTAGATCATGCCTAAATCCAGCAGAATCCACAGGGCAGTCTCATGACATGTTCTGAGACTAGCTAGCTTGTCGGGGCTCTGCACTAAATGAAGACATGACAGCTAGTTCCTTTATATAAGCATTTCCCAGTGTCCAGGTGTGCTGTGGAATTCTGGGCTGGAGTCATGCCCCCTGCTTGCTGCCACTGCGAACAAACAGACAGCATGGCTCCAGCCAGTGATTTGTATCCGTGAGCTGTGTTCAGCCGCTCCACCTCTCCCCCCGGTCCATGCCCGGCCGCTCGTCAGCTTCCCACCCCTGCTCTGCATTCGGCAGGGCCACTCCTCCCCAGCAGCTGGATTTTCTTCGTGGAGGCGGGAAAGGTGGGTCTGGATCCTTTCAGCCAGAAAAGGGAACTGGACCATATTTAAAAAAAAAAATTACTTCTGCACTTACTGGGCACTAGCCTTCAGGAGAGGGCTCTGGCATGTGAAATCCAAATGGAGGGACACCTTGCAGGCATAAGATGCCTCGACTTAGTTCTACAAAGGAATTTAATTGACTTTCTAATTGCCTGGGTCCCATTCAAATAACAATGCCATGTTCCTGACACATACAGAGTACAAGGGGGTAGTTTCCCTTGGTTGAAAAAAAAACTTGCAAAAAATTAGCAGATTCAGAGTAATCAAGGTAAAACTCAGACTGCCCTAAATCTAAAATGCTGATGCAGGACTACTTTTTCACTGTATTCCACAGAGAGAGAAAGATCAGCTTTTAAAGTCTGCAACTCGCTTGTCCTTGAAGATATTAAAAAACAAAACCTGCTCTCTTTAACCAGAAAGATTTCCCACAGGCCCAAAAGGCCATTCCATCAATTGTGCCAATTAGGCTCAAGCTGACAACTGTTAAAAAAAACAGCCCTTCAAGAAATCAAAAGGAATACAGGATTTATGTATATTGGACCAAAATCATTCCAGCCATACAGCAATTAAAACATTCCAAGCAGCTGCACCTAAACACAGAAAACAGAAATGAAGATATCATGACTATAGCACCTTTTTTTCCTTGACTTCCAGATGATCAATGCTCAAAGCGCACATTAATACTTTCCATACGGTTCTCAATGCATTCACTCAGCAGCAAGCACCAAGAAAACCTGAAGAGGCCACCCTGAAGAACAATTCTTTGGTTTAAATAAATGATTTCCTACTCACTCCTGATGACTGCTGGTTCTGGGAGAGTGCCAAACGTGCATGGCCTCTTCTAATCCTACGTTCTACCTCTGCAAGTAAGCTCTGTAAATACCGAAGAAAGTCTCTTTCATAGCCCACTTTCATAAATCGAGAACTCTTCTCATACCTGATTAAAGACAGACATATAAAAAAAAAAATTACTTCAAGCTCATGCCTTGTTCAAGAAAACACATGCAAATTGCTACAATTTATCAGCTCAAGTAAAAATTACAAACCTTTTGTAATATAATGAATTTTAAGTAAGTCTGCATAAATGATTATTTTCTTATTGTCTGGTTGCTCAAACAGAGCAGAAAAACAAAACTGAAAATAATGCAATGTATACTCACTGCTTACGTAGATTTTCGTCATGTATTTTTTCACAAGGACCTAAAAACAACACAATGAAAAAGACTAAGCAGAGTCTCTTGAAAGCCACAGTGATCAACTTTAAATATTTAGGCTAGGATTATTTTTGTGTTCCAGGACACAGCAAACAATTCCAACGGGTCTCAGGAAAACAGAAGAGTGAAGCTAATGTATTTTTATGAAGCTGTGTAAGCTGGCCGTTCGAATCTAATTTATGCTCACTTTTGAGGGACTTGCAAGACAATTTAAAGTGTAAAAATACCAAAATTCTGCAACATTAACTTAAAAAAAAAAAAAAAAAATAAGGATTTTCAAGACACAAGCTGGAATAGGAATCCACTGCATTTCTAGCACAAAAATATTCCAAAACTTAAGTTTTCAAAACCATGCTGTCATGATTATTTAAGAAAGGAATCAGTACTCCAAGGATCTTCAAAGGCTAGTATAATTTTCACTAAGTCATTTTTGAGCTCCAAAATCTGCTCAGATTTTGAACTGTATTATAGCTTACCAGCCAACTAAAAGTTTGATTTCAAGTTTATAATCAGACAAAGGCGGTAAGGACTCCATTTCAGGTCTGATATGCACAGTAAATTGCACCAATTATACTAATAACCTTCCTAAATCTGTCTCCGTCTATCAGTGTGGCCTTTTTGATTTTAAATTAAAATGGCTTCCCATACAACGCAAGCTAAAGCAAAGAAAAAAAATCCTTAATTGGAATAAGGGCATCCATAAGTGCACTGTCTGATGTACTGTAACAACTTTCTAGAGTACAAAAGTCCTAGTCCCATATCAGCAGTTTAGGGAACAGGATGAGATGGAGTAAAACATCAGAGTAAGCATAGCTACTGTTGAAATTAAGCTACTGGCAAATCCAAAGAAAACCATTTTACAAATGTGATTACTAAAAACTAACACACAACATGAAAAGACGAGGTAATGGTAAAAACCCTATTCCAAAGGGAAAGCTGTTAGCAAAGGTTGCATCTTAACACTGAATTTTAATGACAATGAATAAGACAAAAATGAACACTTACCTAAATCAGAACGCGTATTTGTAAATAATTCAGCTGGACAAAACCCACAAAGGTAGTATTTACAAACCTAAGAGAAAAAACAGGCATCATTTCTCTTTGTATTTGTCACTAATTGCCCTACAACTTCATTCTATGATAACAAGTGAAATTCCATTCTGTACTTATTTCTGCAAGTCCCTAGTTTGAGAATTTAATACACCCCCCACCTTTGTGGTAGTTGATGGCAGCGAAGACAAAACATGCCTTTCTGGAAATAGAGCTATAAATCTTACTTTCCATTGCAATATGGTATTCTTTTATTTTGTAAAATATTATATTCTCACAACCTCAAACAGTTGTCAACTGGTCACAGCCCTGAATGACTACACAGAGTCTAACATTTCCCAAATGGATGAAATCTGTCATTCAGGAACTTTGATGCCTGAAATTTTTGGGAGCTGTCAAGACCTAGGAGGAGGAAAGAGTCTGACAATTGAAAAACTGTAACTAGTTCTTAGCCCATCTATGAAGACTTTGTGTTCAGCTCGCATTCATTCACCACTTAATGACTTAGGGAACAGGAGATCTTTTGGATTTCAGTCCAGTCTCCTGCTTCAGGTAAGCAGACTTTGATCTGCAATTCTTATTATTTAAAGGCTGCATAGTTACCACACTTCTCTGTTTTTTTGTTTGCTTGCCTGTTTGTAAAGGCCACACAGGAATGTCTTTAAGATGCTTCAATTAAATGTGATTTGCAAAGAGGGAGAGGGCTTGTGCTCTAGAAGGTCAGAGGCTGTTTAGATTGGAATAAGTGACCCAACAATGGAGGAAAAGATGATCAAACAGGAGTCAAGAAAGCTGAAAAAAATAGGAACTTGAATGGATTTGAATTACACTGTAAAAACTGATTTGTTTGTTTTAACACCCTTAATATCAGTGACTAATGACAAAGTGGACACAAGAAGCATTTGTTACAAGGTTCTTTGCCCACACCCATAAAAGGAGGACATGCCCCATATAAAGACCACCAGCAATCAATATCCCTGGTCAAGTCCCCTTCAAACTCTTTTTATACAAGATACAGTAGGTAAAAAACAAAAACAAGTGAACCACCACAAAATTCAGATGTCACGTTTAAGGGAGTCCTCACTACAGCTTTTTGCCCAAAGTTAGTACACAACTACCTTGAAATACTTAACTTTATAAAGACTTGTCTTTACATTTCCCAAATATTTTCCAGGCTACAAAGGTCTGAAGTGTAGGAGATAATCTTAATCTTTCCTAATATTCTTGCTGAAGAAATGAATAACTGAAAGAAAAACATTCGTATGCCCATAATCACATTGAAAAACAATCTAAAAGGGCCATGTTTTTCTGCCAGCAGCATTTGATTGAATTTGCTATGTTAAAATAATTTCTCCCCTCAACACACATGCCAGCCCCGTAAACTCAACCTGGGATATGGAAGCCAAACTTCACGTCACTACAAGTAAGCATTTCAGCAGCTGAAAATTATTCAACAAGTCTGCTGATATGTGGGACAAAAAAGAAATTCATTGTACGGTACAAATGTTAGCTCAGAGATATAAGTTAGTAGGTTTTTAGAGTACAGTACTAAGAACAGATTTAGACTTCACAGGCATGGTCAGCTCCAAGACTACTGCACCTCGTAGCACACTGTGGGGAGGAGGTGAGCAGCCTTCAGTGGTGAAAGAACAGGTTAGGGGCTATTTAGAAAAGCTGAACATGTACACGTCCATTGGGCTGGACGCGATGCACCCAAGGGTCCTGAGGGAGTTGGCTGATGTGACTGCAGAGCTGCTGGCCATTATCTCTGAAAACTCGTGGGGGCATCAGGAGAGGTCCCGCATTATTGGAAAACAGCAAATGTAGGGCTCATCTTCAAGAAAGGGAAAAAAAGAGGATCCAGGGACCTATAGACCAGTCAGCCCCACCTCAGTCCCTGGAAAAATCATGGAGCTGGTCCTTAAAAAATCCATTTGTAAGCACTGCGAGGAGAAGGCGGCAATTAGGAACGGTCAGCATGGGTTCACCAAGGGCAAGTCATGCCTGACCAATCTGACTGCCTTCTATGACAAGATGACTGGCTCTGTGGATGTGGGGAGAGCAGTATCTGCGATGCCCCTTGACTTCAGCAAGGCTTTCGATATAGTCTCCAACAACATTCTCTCAAGCAAACTAAGGAAGTTCGGGTTGGATAAATGGACTGGATAGAAAACTGGCTGGATCACTGGGCTCAAAGATAGTAATCAATGGCTCCATGTCTAGTTGGCAGCTGGTATCAAGTGGAGTGCCTTGGGGATGGGGGGAACGACTTACTGAAAAGAAAATGCTGGCTCTCAAGAGGAAGCCAGCAGTCCTGTGGGTGCTGTGGCAGCCCACCAGGGCAGGGAAGGAGGTCTGCCTGCTTGAAAGGCTACCCCCCTGCCCTAACTGGCTGTGAGGGCTGTCTATCATGTGGTCCCACCCCCTCCATCAAGGGGCAGGGCCATGTGACAGCCAATCAGCGGCAAGGCGTGGGACCACTGGGGCCCCTTAGCCAGACGTTCCGGGGGGGGGGGGG